AGGAGCTGTCACCTGCTTCCCAGACCCAACACTATCTGTGCCTGAGGCTTCGGGGTAATTCCTGGGAGGAGGACATGGGTGGTGGCAGGGCTGCAGGAGCAGCCTCTGGTCCCGCAGCTTCCCATGTGCCAGCATCTGGCACTGGCTGGGCACAGGCAGAGCCCCAACACCAGCAGTCAGAACATGGTCCTGATGATTTCCTGTGGTGTTCACAATGCCCGTAATCATTTAATAGGGTTCTGTGCATCCCTCTTACTCATACACATGATGACAATACTTCTGTTAGCCCAGAGAAAATTACTCTATAGTTGTGTATCTCAGGTTAGCTTTTCTAGGTTCCTGGCTGACTCCAGTTAAATCAATACTTTTAAAGCAGGATGAGAACTAAACAATCCTGCTTTAAAGTCCTGCTAAATCACACCTTAAATGTTCTTTTTCTACCTAAGATGTGCAAGACAGATGACAGAGCCTCTGACAAAACTGCCATCCCTTTCTGGAGTCCCCTTTCTGTTACGTTGACAAATTGTGTCTCATCCTTCCTACAGCATCTAACACCAAGACTTGGAAAGTTACATGAATTACAAATTTTGGGGTCTGATGCACAAGTTCTGATGTCTTGATATGGCATTGGAGGCAGGGGGACAGCATGAAGGCCATGCAAATCATGAATTCACACGCGGGGCTGTTACCCTGGAGGAGTAGAGAGGGCTGGTTAAATATATGTGCATGTTTCAACTCCAAGGGGCAAAAAAGGACGAGAATTTTTTTGCTGTCAGACTTGAGAAATCTCGAGTCTTCCATTCCTAATATGAGCAAAAAGCATTGCATTTGTTTACACATTGCCTCCATGAAAACTGCAGCGGACAAAAGTTACCCGACAATGCTCAGCATCCGAACTGCACTGTGAGTCTGGCTGCGTCCCAACCCAGGACAGGAAAGGGGCAGCCAGTTTTGGAGACCTTCCTAGTACAAACCATCCCTGTAATGTGAAAGGGCTCTGTTGCTCATCTTCCAAGCAGAAAATACACGAATATCCCATCTAGGGAAAACAGAAAACTGTGCGGTGCAAGAGGCGGCTGGGAATCTGATTCCAACCAAACTCCAGTGAATCTTGTTCTGAGAAGCAATATTTAGGGCTACAGAGAGTGGTTTCTTTAAGCAGCTCCTCATCACCATGTCTAGAAGACCTTTTATTAGTCCCTGTTCAAGAAGGTACGTATACAAGTACCAAGTGTATGATGTTTGTTCTGGCCTTGAGCACCAAGCCTGCAGTCCTGCCCACCTGTTCCACAAAGAGACACCCAAAAAGAAACAGCTGCAAAGGAGCTGGAGTCCTTCCTCTTTTCAGCTGAGAGAGAAAAATCCTGAATAAATAAACTACATTTTAGTAAAACTAAATTTCATTAAACTTGCAAAACAAAGACCAATTTTTATTTCCTTGTTTCTATACTTCACAATCTTTGTTTTGTTTTTGACAGAAAAAAAAAAAAAAAAGGAGACTTGTAATCTTGTAATTCATCTTTTGATTACAAATTATTGAATTATGTAGATTTTTTGTGTTCTCTGCAGGAAGCTAACATGCCCAAAGTATATTGTTCATTCAAATGCAGTGAATTAATTTACACTTTCAGTGAAAAACCCTGAAAATATGCCCACTAAATATATTTAACTTGTGGGTGGTACTTCTATTTGAAAAATCCAACCCCATTGCTACACTTCTGTCCTCCCTCAAATATAACCCAGAAGTTATTATTGTTATTATCTTTTTTTTTTTTTTTTTTTAATCAGAGGAAGCATGGCCCAAATTAACCAATGTGACTTAACATGCAGATATATTTCCTGTTTCCTTCCTCCTCTTTATCTTACTTTTGTGAGCTCAGGAATATGCTCACCAGAAATAAACAGGTCTCAGCTGCAAGCAGCTGGTTCTCTGCTGCTGCAAGAAGTCCCAGGCCAGGGATGAGAAACTCGGTGTGAAAGTGGGCCAACTGCTTCTCCTCTTGCCTTTGCAAAAAGCTGCCATTCTGTGTGTGGGCTTTGATTCATGCACCCTATTGGAGGCAATCCTAGGAATTTTTGAGCAGCTTCAGATAATTAAAAATGAATAACGCCTTCAGCACAATAACCCTTGTGCTAATTGTCTGGATATTAAGCTACATTCCTTTTACTTTGCCCTTGCACTTACAGATTCTTGCATTAACATTGCAGTGGTACTGTGGAAGTGGTTAGGGTAAAAATGGAAAAGTTTCGGCATCTGGCTACAAGAAACTGGAGATGTGGGTGCATGGTGACATGTGGAAGGCAGAGTGGGACATGGATAGACACATTGTTTAGCTTTTTCTGGTAAAATGATGGCATTGTATCAATTAGCAACGATAACAGGAAGCCTGCAGACAACTGTGTTGATGCCCCTTTGTCACTGGGATGAACAGGGCAGGCTGCATTGCTGCTCACATCGCTGCTCTGCTTTCCCTTCATGGGGCAGCCAGGTCACGTACAAGCAGGAGGACAGCCTCTGCTGTGAGGTGAAAAAGCCAGTTTCAAAACCAGAAGATTTTAGTGCCTTTTCAACAGCTTTGGCATTAACAGAGCTGGTGGAGCACCCTCAAACCGGAGAGCAGTGTGGCCTTGGGAAGTGCTTGTCAAACAGGTCTCCAATCTTGCAGGAAGACACTGCCTGAGCAGCTCACACAAAGCACAAGATACATCACATACATGTGGTACATTAGGATACACGATCAAATTTCAGTATCAAAGTCACACAGATCATAAAAACATCCATGCTATTTGCTATTATTCTCAGGAGCTTGTCAACGAGAGCTCCGAATGAAGCAAGAGAAGCATTTTCTTTGCAAAAGAAGCAGAAGACGATTTTGAACATCAGGCACACATGGCAGTAGAACCATTTGGAGGGGCTGTCTCAGCAGAGAGGGAAAGGAAAAAAGACCTCAAGGTGTCTCACAGATATACACTGAAGGAAGCCACAGGAAATTTTGAACCTTATGTGAATGAGGATGGTAAAAAGAAACTATCTGTTAACAAAAAGATTGGAGGAGAACAGGTCAAAAGGAAGTTGCAATAAAGACTTTTGTTCATTGGTGTAGGAAATATTCTGAGTTTCATAGACTGGGTCCTACCTAAAAACATGTATTTCCTCTGAAGGGAAGCTCTGCTCCAGTACATCTGGAACCAATTTCTAGGAGAAGCCAGAGGCAGTTTGCCGCACTCCTATATGAGATGCACCTGTGAGAGGCCCACAAACCACCTTAATAAAAAAGAGCGTAAAAAGGGTCATGGGCTTATGCAGTAGGGAACCCACAAGGAGGGCTGAGATCCATCTCTGGGCACCCAGGAGACCTGGCTGGTGGGTGGTGAGGGGCTCAAGAGTCCTGAGCGGGTTTTGGTTGTGCTGTATGGCCAAGAGAAGCCACAAGGACTCAACAGCAGCAAGGATTGTGCAGAATTATGGGCTGATGTCTTCTCCTGTGCCCTGTACAACAGAGAGAGAGCGCTTGCAGGCAGAGTACATGGAGATTAAACCAATTTTTCAGTGCAATAACCAGACAATGGTGCCAGCAGGTGAATGGTAGGAAGGTGAAATTTCAGATATCTATGCAGAGACAGGAAAATGAAGAGAAACAAACGTAGGGAAATTCATTTGCTTACAGGTTTTGATAAAGTACAACCAAGTGTTAGCACTGGAGGATGTTCTCATCCATTTCATCTCTTCTCAGAAGATGCTACCTATGTTGAATAGACATGGGAAGACTTCACTTCTGCACCCCTTGTTATCTTTCCCATAAAATGGGAGTCATTTCCCTGTGCTTCCCCTTATCCTAAGATGCTCTTGCTGAAAGGGATCTGCTCAGGACTCCAGCCAGAAGGCTCAGCCCCAGCAGCTCTGACAAGGTCTCACATTGAGCACCTCACAGCACCTGCTGGAGGCCAGCGATGATGTGGCTGGAAGGTTTCTCAAGCTGGAGGGAGGACATGGGGTCCTTAGAGGAAATGGTCACCTTCAGTGACAGCAAGGATGTGGCACTCCATCCTGTAACCAGCGGGCCCTTCCCTGTGTCCAGGGGCAGTCTGGAGACCCTCTTCTTTAGTCAGAGATTCCCAAGTTTACATGCACAAAAGCCTCCATCATAGCAGCAACCAGAGGCACGTGTCTGATAACACTATGCCAGACAGGAAGCGTGTGAGTGAGCAAGAACCAACCCCAGCCTGAAAATGAGAGAGGGCAAAGAGGGAAAACAACAACAACAACAACAAAAAACCACCTTAGATTTCAGGCTGGGGCAGTTGCAGCAGTAACATCAGTGAGAAGGGATTGTGGTGCTACACAGCAGCCCCTGTGCCGTGCTGGTGGGACACAAGCACCACATCAGAAGGCACCAAGGGCAACGTGCCTGTGCTGAGGCCCCCAAATAAATGCTCTGGGGAGATGGGGTTGGAGCAGCACTAGGGACAAGTCCTCTTCGCCCCAGCCCCATGTTCTGGCCTGCTGCTCTTCAAACTTCTGATTTTTCTGAGGCATTTCCCACAGATCAGCCTGCTCTGTATTGCTACACTGCCAAATAAGAATGGTTTATTACTAGTTTAGACCATGCAAGGGTGTTTTGCAGTCAGTCCATGACCCTCTGGGGTTTGGTGGGACACTGGCGGTGAGCACCTTTGGCTCATGCTGCCTGTGAGGCACTTGGGTGAATGACTGCAGCCTCTCTGATGTGAGTGTGTAGCCACCATGTGCTCCATGGGGGTGCAAGTCCTGCGTGTGCATAGCCTTACACTGGCTTTCTGTCACACACTCGCAGCCCCAGGGTGGTTTTCTGGACAAAACCTTAGCGAAGTCCTCCCGGTGCCTGCGTGCACCTCGCTTTTTCCCTGTCTGAAAACAAATCCGCAGCATTCGGAGCGTTTCCTCCCCGCTCCATGTGATTCTGATTTCACTAATTAGAGTTAATCTGATAAAGGAAGGAACTGCGGAGAAGACTAAGAGCAGAAAGGCGGGCGGGCAGGGGTCAGCCGGCAGGCCGCGGAGGGAGGCCTTTGCGGCCAGGGAGCCGAGCGCTGCGGGGCACAGCGGGGCCGAGCCGCTTCATCTGTTTGGCCATGGGCTGGGGCTGAACCCCCGGCCACCCCGGCCGCCCGGCCTCACCCCCCCGCTGCCTAGGACCTAATGAAAGGCACCAGGGAGCGGGAGGAGCGCTTCTGCCTCCTCAGGCACAGCACAGCCCAGGCCGGCCTGGGGGATGAGTAATGGATAACAGAGCAGCTTCTGAGTCTGTTGGGCCGGTGCCTGGAGGGCAGCGCTGATTGAACTTCATTGGCACCTGATGGTGTGCTGAAGGGGATCTGTAGGAAATGAAAGCCTGGAGTTCAGGATGAGATGTCCCCTCTGCGGACAAAAGGGTTCCTGGGATAACAGAGCCGAGAGCAGAAGTGTTGCCTGGGGATTGGTATCCCAAAGGGAGCAGAGCTTTGGGTCACAGGTTCGCCACGCACAAAGCTGCTTCCTTCCAGCACCATGGCACACACAAATCCAGCTCAGTGTGAGAAACACCTGACAAGGTGCTGAGCATCCACCACTCGCAGCAGGCAGGGCCATGACACCTTCTGTGGTTCAACGGGTGCCAGCTGTCTTCTCCAAATAGCAGCTCAGGCTCCTTGCATCCAGCAGATTTACAGAGGAGGACATCTTCAGAGAGAAATGGCAGCTGGAGCCACATGTAGCATGTGCAGAACAGTCATTAGAAAGCTAGGAAGTGGGATGAGCTCACCTTACTTTGTTTTTGAAATCTGTCTCGATGGCGTTGATGTGCTGGAATTAATTTTGCTGAGCACAATGTAGCGTATCAATCTAAAGTATTCAAGCACCAGGGATTTACTTTATCCAGCTTCTATCTGGGCAGCAAGGAGCCACAGGATGGCCTCTTGCTCCAAACATGCCAACAGAGATGCTCACGGAGCCTCTCTGCTGAGGCACGATATTCGCATGCAGCTAGAGATTTACCACTTCTCTGCTTTCTTTAAATGGCTGGTACATACATCGATTTCGACAGCACCCCTGCCCCTCCTCTGCAAACTCCATTCATCGTTAACTTGTTTAAATTAAACACAAGCACGGACAGGATCAGCAAGCAGCCGTCTGTTTTATTAGTGCTTCTACTTCAAATGTCAGTCTTAGTCCCTCCTTGCTGGGCTCTGATCTCTCATGACAATTTGATTAACTTTACATTTCCTTTTATTGTTGGAGAAACATTTGGAAAATCTTAACATATCTTACAGGCTGATTCTGAGACCAAGATGGTGATTATGTCCATGCTTAGCATCATCCATCAAAATCAGGCATCTGACAGTCAGACCACCTGAAAAATGTGTCATTCCCAAGAAGTTCACAAGCCATAAAGTATTTCCTAGTTGTGAATAGCCACAGGACACTTCTTTTTCTCCTTACAGGAATACTTTCATTAGGAATCTCTTAAACCCCGTCATTAGGAGACAGTCTCCGCTTCGCACCAGTCTGCCCAGACAAGAGCACCTTCTCAGCTCCCAACAGCCAGAAACTGGTATCTGAGCCTTTGCAGGAGCCACATTCCTGTGGTGACTCCCTGATGGGAACATACCATTAATTGAGGGACTGTCAGGATATGACATATCCCAGGGAAAAGGATGCTCCGTTTCACTTTGACAGAACTTTTCCCCCTTTCCTGGTGCTCAAACTAATCTAATAGTGCCTGAAGCCTCTGGCATATACTCAGCATTACATTTCTGCCTGCCTCTAAGCTTCTGGAGCTTGGCACAGCCCCAGAGCATCAAGGCACCAGTGAAAAAGGCTGGAAGTTGGCCTGGTTTTGTCTTTATGTTTCAAGACCAGGATCAGAAATAGAAATAGTAAGAACCTCATGGAAAAAGCATGGTTTCCTGGTGTTTTTGACAGTTTATTACATGTAGATATTCAAATTCTTTCCTGGCATCATTTTCATTGATCTGAAGGTACTTGGTCGTCCTGAAAAGCCATGCCACTTGCCTCTTTTTCTGAGGGTAACACAGGGATAGCAGATGTTACTGCCCTTGTACAAAGGACCAGAACAAGGATAGCTGGATGTTAGCTACTAGAGCTAACATGCTTCTTCCCTGCCAACCATGCTGCCATTTATACTGGCCATTCCTCAGTGGTTCAACATTCTTCAATCCCTAGCTCCATATTTACAGTTTTTCTTCTACTTCAGGACCGAGATTAGTGTTCCTTCAGATTTTCTTTTGTGCCTTCAACCGTAGTTCTGAAACATTGTTCCCAAGCAAAAATAAATATCAATACCTAAGGGCATTAAGATGACTTCTGCAGGAAATAGTCAGATACCACAGCTCAGCTGATACCATTAAGCCATGTTAAATCTGTCTCATGCCTGAGCCACCTATTTGCCTGTTTAGTGAAAGAAAAAATTAATACTAACACATGTGGACATCAAGTAACATAGCTGGGAGACCTGTCTGGCCTCATATCCCAGGGCTGCAGGCAGCACTAAGTACACTAGAAGGTCTCAGGATAGCTGCTGCAGAGAGTTATACCTCATGGCAAACTCAGGAATATGTAGGTTGCACAACATACCAATTCCCATTGATCCTAGTGTGATTTGCAGCTGCTGATGAACACAGTAGTAGTTAAAGATGGTACCAAGATCCTCCCCAATGGACATTTCTAATAATTCTTTTATTTCTGTCATTTTCAACCCCCAGTGAAATTTCTCTGCAGTTCTCAGAGATTTCTGACCTTTCTCACGTGAGAAAAGCTACTGTTCCATGCTCTTAAAATGAATAGATCTGCTCAGGCTACAGCATTGTGATTCCTCATCCCCTCACAAAACAAGTTTTCCTTAATGAAGCCTCATTTTAATCCACAAAAGCAGAAGAGAACAACAAACTAACTTATTTTCCATTCTCAGGAGAAGAATGGTTTATATCTTAAATAGAGATGTCTGGCTTTTCTAATAAAGAAGAGAAAGTGGCCTAGGAAAAAAAAAAATAATAATAATAAAAGAATAAAATTGTGAATAGCTAGAAAGCAAGTCATTGAAATGTACAGCAAGCAGACTGTTCTCTAATGCTTCTGCAGTCCCAAGCCACTGCAACAGAGAGGTCTGGACCCTTAGGAACAATTTGGGCTCTTATACTTTGACAAGTCTGTACTTGGACCCTACATCACAGTGTTAAACCTCTCCTCCAGCCCTTCAAGAGGAATGAGAGCTATTTATGCTAGTTCAATACCACAGCCATACTAGGGGAAAAAAATAATATATATATATATATTAAAAATAGAAGCTCCTGCAATGTAAGAGTGCAATGAAAGCTGGGATCTGGCCCCGTATCACCAGCTCTCCCTGCATGAGTGCCCAAAAACCACAGGCCCAATCAAGCATCTTACTTTCAATGTTATGGGTGCTGGAAAGAGTCCAGCCCCCACAGTCCCAGGGAAGTGATAAAACCCCATGTGCTAGTTAATGCACTGCCTCTTACAGGCCCATGCAGCAGGTGAGCAATTATCACTTGCAGTCTAGCTTAATGCTTTACAGGGCCCGAGAGCTGTTTCCAATTAGCCTCAGTATACCATGGAAATTAACTCATTTGTGTCACCTTGGCTTGCAAGTGGGCTGTGAGGAACTGATGAAACAACTGGAATTGAGTACAGGTGGCACCTCCCTTCTCCTCCTGCTCCTTGGCACTCCTTGCACTGGATCCAGAGGGGTTACGTTTCATGGAAGAAAACACGGATGGAAAAAACCAGCTTGATCCATAACCAGGACCTGAGGGAGGGTTGATCCCCAGAGTCTCGTCTCCATGGTGTTTTTCCAGACTGGTTCTCTGTGTCCCAAGAAATATGCTTCCAAGCACTTCCCTTTGGATTATTTTGCAATCTCATGAGGCTTCTCAGCATTTGGCTTGTAAAAGCCTATCTTTATAAAGAACTGTGTCGTATGTGTGTTTTATCTGTGAGCCTTGTTTAACGAATGCTTTCGGGCATTATGAGCCAATTCAGAGCTTGCTGTAAAGCCAGTGTCATTCCATCAAGCTCACTGGTGTGTCATTGCTGCAAGGCATTTTCTCTTAAAAGGATGTTCCAAAAGTTGATGTTGGGGTTAAAATTAGGCTAAATACTTGCAGGGGTCCCTTTGTGATCTCCTTATACAATTTTGGTGCCTGTGAATGGTGTGCATGTCAAAGGAAGGATGATCTCACGAAAAAAGACCAAGAGGGCAGAGGATCTCTCAACTATTTTCTGAGCTTTGCCATAAAAAGTCCTGTGCCATTTTGAGTACATCATCTCATCTCTCTATGCCTCGGTTTTCTCCCTTCAGAGGTTAGAGTAATCACCTCTTGGTGAGACTATGGAGATAAATACGTTGCAAATGTAAAGTGGTTCTTGGGTAATAGTCATGAAGAGAAGCTTTGAACTGCAATGATTAAGAGATCTCTTGCTTTGACAACTTGATTTTGAGCTTGGTGATCTTGGCTTACCTGAGCTCCTTTTAGCACCTAATTCTTGATGAAAGATGAGCTGTAATTTGAGTGTGATGGCGTATCCACCTAAAATTATCTGTAAAACAACAGATTAAACTTTAGGGGTAGTGTGTCCATGTTTTGTATTTGGCCTAAATACAAATTAAATGCCAAATTCAGCCCCTGTATTGTAGAGAAGGATCTGTTTCTACTGACGATCTGCGTACAAAATGACCGAAGAAGAAACTTCAAGTTATTTTATAAAAACCAAGTATCAGTACATTCAGTGAGTGGAAGAGCAAGTTAGAAATAAAATATTCTCCAGGCAAACACAGTTCTGTTTCTCCAAATGCAGTCTGCAGCTCAGGCCATTATTTCTAGCAGCTAACACAAGTTAATTGCACTGACCTTAAGAGCACGTTGTAGTTATGAAGATCAGCCCTGCATTGTATTAACACTGGGGGAGACATTGTCCTGGAGAGGTGGCCAACATGCAGCAGACCGTGTGGGTTTTCCCACCTTGGAGATCCTTTCCACGTGGGGAACACCTAACTGCAGAGAGCACAACTCTGCTACGTTTTGGCAGTGGTAGGAACAAAAATGCCAGAGCTGCATCACAGAAGGAGCATGTCCATCCCCGCAGCTGCAGTAATGACAGACCAGACGGGTGCTCTTGGAAAACCCAGATCAGCTGGGGAGCTTTGGGCAGCACGGGGCCGGACCCTGGGGGTGGCTCTGCACCGGGGAGGAAAGCTTCCCATAGCTGGAAATGTCAAACTGCTTCGTAGGGAGAGTCAGGCCCGGGCCCAAACCCAAAATGTCAGGCCAAATCTGAACGGCCCCAAATTTGGATCTGGATGTGAAATCTGTGGCTTGGGACCATTTCTGGTTTATATTTAAAAAGCTAATTGTCTCTTGCCATGGGTAACTAAGTATCACAAGAACTGACATGGAAGCAGCAGATTGAAATCTCTCAGGATCCCATTTTGCAGTAGTCAAAAAACCCTTCTTTCCTGGACGCAGGGAACAAGTTTTGCCACATCTGCAAGCCAGGGAAAATCACTGGAAACTCTGGAGTGAATAATTATACACAAATGTTTACAAAAAAATAAATAAGAAGAATGTATGCATAAGTCAAGAATAACAAATGACATGTGGCCAAAACCCTGAATAGCTACTAAGGCCCGGCACTGGGATATGCAATTTTCACATCATTTGCAGCCCTGGGCAGCTAGAAAGGGTGGTTAGGAGATATTAGTATACAATGGCTGCTCAGTACCTGGTATTTATAGTAAATTTCCAGTGGCCAAGGAAACAAATCACAAAAACCCAGCCTTGGAAAGGATGGAAAAAGCCCAGGCCAGCCAGTGTTACTGGTATTCCTGTCCAAGAGAGAGGTCTTGGGCAATATGCGTGCCTCTTTCAGGTCTGTGTACGCACAGACCCGGGCTCTCGTGTTCCTTGCTGTCCCTGGCTTGCCGTATAGCCCTTCACCCAGTTCTTATTCCAGACACATCTTCTGCCTCATGTCCTTCCAAGGACTGGCAGGTCTCGTCTCCCCATCAGACGTTACCTCCTTTAATTCACTCACCCCCAACACACCTACACATCTCTGCAGGATGGGCTCTGGGTTTCACACCCTGCAAGGCTTTTGCTTTAGTTTGCACATTTTGCAAAAAAAATAAAGCTGAAGCCTGAGCCCTCGGTGCACGGCCAGCTTGGGTTCCCTGGGGTGCCCACCTACCTACAGGATCATGGCCCTGCCTAGCAGCCTCTTTCTCCTGGGGCTGAAATTGTGGGTAGCCAGGAGCAATCAGAGCAGGCTGGGAGCTCTACCACCTCTCCAGGAGCACGGCAAAAGCCATTCTTGATAATCTTGTGGAGATACAGGTAGCTTTGAAGCCCCCTGCCTGAGCTCAGTAGCAGATAGCTGAGCTTCTGGAACAGGATAATCCTCCCGAGCCCCTCTCGGCTCCTTCCAGTAGATTGCTGGGGACCAATTTACTATTTACTGGTCCTATGAAAAATAAAAGAGAGAGAGAAAAGCAATTTGGGAACTATCAAAGTGAGTAGCTGTAGCTTTTATGGAGCTGGTTTTATGGGAGATTGCTTCCAGGTGACTCTTGGCTGGCGCAAGGCTTCGCCTGACACGGAGCAAATCGGCGTGCTGAGGGGGCTTGAGGCCAAGGGGCCACAGCCACAGCCCACCTCCCCTGCTCCCAGCTCTTGGGCAAGCGCTGGTCCAAGCTTGGACCTGCAGGGTGGCTGGAAGTGATCGCCTCCCCGCCTGTAAAAAGCACCAGGGGAAGGGCTGTGGTCAGCACGTCAGCAAGGAAAGCAGAGCCGTATCTGCCCGCGGGGCTGGGCTGCAGAAGATGATGCATTAAGATGTACAATGCAGGGATTTCCTCCTCGTTATTGCACGGTAACAGAGCCCACTGCACGCGTCATTCACAACATCTAGGTAGGAAAGCATGCAGGATGTGGCAGCCACACCATACCCTGCACCTACTCCCTCTCCCTGAGACAGCTGCACTCGAGCGAAGGCACAGTGGCAAGGCGCATCACTGCTCATCAGGAGTGTACTGTGGGAAAGAGAGCCAGTTCTGAGGTCATGCTTGGCCTGGAGGTTTGAAAAGAAACAACTTTTTCTTTTTCTAAATATATAAACTTTAAAATTTTCCCATTTTCTATAACTTCTTACCTCCCTCCCTTCCCCTTTCTTTCCCCTCCCCACCTCCTGGCACCTAGAAGTGCTTGGATGTCAAGGAACCTGCTAATTACTGGCAGTGGCGGTAATTTATTTATTTTTTTGATCCCTCCAGATGCTTTTGGCTCCTCCCTTGCAGCAGCACTCGGCTGTCCTGTGCCTCAACATGAGCGCACAGGCAGGCAGGTCGCTGCCACCTGGGGTCAGTAAGTGGCTGCAGATATCAACATCGCCTTGCGAAACGAGTAGACGTGGCCAAAGCAAGCTTGGCCCCAAAGCAGGTCCAGGGACTTCACCTCATCCCCTGCAGCTGAAGAGTTAACTCCCTCTGCAGCTCTCCTGCACCGGTAGGATTTAGAAGGGATTGCAGCATCATTCTTTAGGCATACCCAGATGCTCAGTATTAACGTAGGCAGCTCTGCGAAGATTGTTTCCTGCTACTCATCGGATGGGAAGAATATTTGGATGAAGTAGTGGTTTGGGTATCACTTTGCAGGTCTGGAGTATAACTCAAGTGGAAAGAGATTTAGCTCCAATTACTCGATGTAATTCAGAATACAGAAGAGCCCTCTGTAGCTAAGACAGTAGTTAGTCTTCAGTTAGCTTTTACTCCACTGGCAAAAGCCACAGCGAGCTCCACTCTTCATTTTTTTTTATTTTGTGAGTGTATGCATGTAGCCCTTGGCATCAGAGCAGGCTTTGAGATACGACTCAGAGGTGTGCATTTATCTGCAGTCTCAAACAAAGCAAAACAAGAAGTAGAAATTAGAAATAAAACTCGTTCTGCACTGAGACTGAAAAGGAAAGCAAGCAATCCCATTCTTTTCTAGCTTATTTTGTTCCTGTTGCTCTGGCTGGGTGGTGAAGCTGTACTCCTCTCCTGGCAGCTCCGTGCAGCTCCTGTGCCAGAGGCAGGTTCTGTTTTGTCTGGGTCTCCAGCTCCACTGAAGTTGTTGAGCCCTGGTTTCACTTATGTTGAGAGCAAAACAACATAAAAAAAATAATAATAGCTTTGTTTAGTGCTTATATTCCTCCTTGCATGAAAAATCTTTGTTCTGAGCCTAAGTTTAGCTGATGATGCCCTTTAGAGTTTGATTACAAATAGGGCAAAACCCATTCATTAAAATAAAGGAGGGGAACGGGTGACTCGTCTGACCTGGAAAGCCCCACTGAAGAAACAGTGGATTTAGTTATCTCAAAGCAAGAGGGAACCTAAACTATGTGTAGGGGCCAAAATAAGGAAAAAAATGCGGCAGAAAATTTGAAAAAATACAACGCTGCCTGGCTGAATAGCAGCTATTGCAGTGAGCACACGTAAAAGGACTGCTAAACCTGAGATTTTCCAGAAGAAGTAAACCTTGGTCTCCCATTTGTTTAGAACCAAGTTTAATTTCAGCATGGCATTTGTTCCAGCAGCTCATTTTAATGCTGCAGCTTGAAGAAATCTTAAACGTACTGGGGAAGACACAAGAACAGACTGCTGTTCCAGCACAAAAACCTGCAGCCCGTGATAAATAACAGAGCATGATCCCAAGCTGTCTCCTAGGTTGTCTGAGCAGAAGGTATTTCCCCGCAAACCTCCGAGGTTTGTTTTCTGTTTCTAATCACTGCGACTGCAGGCTCCTTGAGGCAGGGACTGCTCTTCGTCATCCCCAGCGCCTCGATGGGCCGCTGCCGGGTGCTGCCCTCTCCTGTGCGAGGGGCAGTCAGTCCTTCCAGCCCTGAGATTGTCCCCGTTCCTCACAGCTTTCCTGCTGCATAGTTGGCACCTGGTAAAGTCTGAAGGGAAGGAATTGAGGTCGCCTGTCACAGCGAAACATCTGCAGAACCTCTGCCTGTTCTTTGGTGTCCCACAGCCGGGCTTTGCTCTGCTCCACGATCCCCATTAGTTCGATTTTCAGCACATTCACCTCAAGAGCTGGGCAGATTGCAAGGACTTGTGCCAGATTCACCCGTACTTTTCTAAAAATAAACCTCCCAAAAATCAACAACGGAGGGTTGAGCTAAACGTGTTTGACAGGCTGTGATTTTCCTGCCGGGCACTAAAGCCCAGCCAGGACTGACTACGCACAAAAGCGAGGCGGTTCTCCTCCCCACCCTCCCGAAATGTTTAAAGCCAAAAGGAGGATGGCCGGTTCCTAACCTGGTGCAAAGTCCAGAAAAGTGCGAGGCCGATTTTGCTGTGTCACAAGCTGATCTTTCACAGATGCTGGAAAGCTAGGAAGTGCAATTATGGGAAAATTGCACTAAGGCAAACAAGTACATGCCAAATTCTGCCATTCCCCATTACCCACCTGAGCCCCTTGATTGTGGCAGACAACGCACCATCTGTATGTGCTTTGTCAAAGGGAAAAAAATAATCCCAAGAACGGTGTCTGAACGGGGAAGCAGGAGAAGAGGGGGAGGCTCGGGGACGGGGCAGGCACCCCACAGCCGCCACAGAGCTGTGGCAGCGCCCAGGAGCCGTGCTCAGCCCAGGGGTACCCAAAATGTGGTGGCCTCAGTGCATCCACATGGTCGTTCCCATTGTGTTTGGCCATCGGGGGCTTCTCCAGGTCCCTGAGCTCCGTCCCCCCTGAGCGTGCGGTGTGAAGCCCAGTTCTCATGAGAACAAGCTTTCCGGGCACTGGGAGATGTCAGATACTCCCAGCTCCTGCTCGGGCCAGAAATAACTCGCGATCTTTTCTCAGGATATTCTGGCAATGCTGTTTGCTCACCCGGATGGATCCCACAATTCCTGAGGTACCAAAGCACGAAAAGGAGGAAAACAAATGAGCAAATAGCACAGGAGGGCAGGGACGTGAAGGAGTTACCCATGCTCACTGAGCCTCAGAGACAGCTTGGTTTTCAGCTGAGCCTTGGGTTCAGATGCTGTCCTCTCTTGAACCCAAGCAG